TTCCCACCAACAGTGTAGGAGGGTGCCCGTTTCTCCACATCCTCGCCAGCATCTAGAGTTCTCTGATTTGCTCATTTTAGCCACTCTGACTGGCGTGAGGTGGTATCTCAGTGTGGTTTTGATTTGTATTTCCCTGATGAGGAGGGATGCTGAGCATCGTTTCATGTGTCTGTTGGCCATCTGGATGTCCTCTTTGGAGAAGTGTCTGTTCATGTCTTCTGCCCATTTCTTCACTGGGTTGTTTGTTTTTCGGGCGTGTAGTTTGGTGAGTTCCTTATAGATTCTGGATATTAACCCTTTATCTGATATGTCATTTGCAACTATCTTTTCCCATTCCGTTGGTTGCCTATTAATTTTCTGGGTTGTTTCCTTGGCTGTGCAGAAGCTTTTAATCTTGATGAGGTCCCAACAGTTTATTTTTGCTCTTGATTCCCTTGCTTTTGGGGATGTGTCAAGTAAGAAGTTGCTGCGGTGGAGGTCAAGGAGGTTGTTTCCTGCTTTCTCCTCTAGGGTGTTGATAGTTTCCTGTCTCACGTTCAGGTCCTTTATCCATTTTGAGTTGATTTTTGTGCATGGTGTGAGAAAATGATCTAGTTTCATTCTTCTGCATGTTGCTGTCCAGTTCTCCCAACACCATCTGTTAAAAAGGCTGTCTTTTTTCCATTGGATATTCTTTCCTGCTTTGTCAAAGATCAGTTGGCTGTATACTTTTGGGTCCACTTCTGAGTTCTCAATTCTGTTCCATTGGTCTATGTGTCTGTTTTTGTGCCAATACCATACTGTCTTGAGGATGACAGCTTTGTAGTAGAGGCTGAAGTCTGGGATGGTGATACCTCCCGTTTTGGTTTTATTTTTCAGTATTACTTTGGCTATTCGGGGTCTTTTGTGGTTCCATACAAATTTTTGGATAGTTTGTTCTAGTTTTGAGAAGTATGCTGGTGCAATTTTGATTGGAATTGCATTGAATGTGTAGAGTGCTTTAGGTAGTAATGACATCTTAACTATATTTATTCTTCCTATCCATGAGCATGGAATGTTTTTCCATTTCTTTGTGTCTTCTTCAATTTCCTTCATAAGTTTTCTATAGTTTTCATCATACAGATCTCTTGTATCCTTGGTTAGGTTTATTCCGAGGTATTTTATGGTTTTTTGTGCAATTGTGAATGGGATCAGTTTCTTGATTTCTCTTTCTGTTGCTTCATTATTGGTGTATAAAAATGCAACCGATTTCTGTACGTTGATTTTGTACCCTGCAACTTGGCTGAATTCTTGGATCAGTTCTAGTAGGCTTCTGGTGGAGTCTGTCGGGTTTTCTATGTAGAGTATCATGTCATCTGCGAAGAGTGAAAGTTTGACTTCCTCTTTGCCAATTCTGATGCCTTTGATTTCCTTTTGTTGTCTGATGGCTGATGCTAGGACTTCCAGCACTATGTTAAACAACAGTGGTGAGAGTGGACATCCCTGTCGTGTTCCTGATCTCAGGGGGAAAGCTCTCAGTTTTTCCCCGTTGAGGATGATGTTAGCTGAAGGCTTCTCATAGATGGCTTTGATGATGTTTAAGTAGGTTCCTTCTATCCCAACTTTCTCGAGAGTCTTTATTAAGAAGGGATGCTGTATTTTGTCAAATGCTTTTTCTGCATCTATTGACAGGATCATATGGTTTTTATCTTTTCTTTTATTGATATGATGGATCACATTGATTGATTTGCGAATGTTGAACCAGCCCTGTAACCCAGGAATGAATCCCACTTGATCTTGGTGGATGATTCTTTTGATATGCTGCTGGATTCGATTTGCAAGGATCTTGTTGAGAATTTTTGCATCCGTATTCATCAAGGATATTGGCCTATAGTTCTCTTTTTTTGCTGGATCTCTGTCTGGCTTGGGAATCAGAGTGATGCTGGCTTCATAAAATGAGTCCGGGAGTTTTCCTTCGACTTCTATTTTTTGGAATAGCTTGAGAAGAATTGGGATTAATTCTGTTTTAAATGTCTGGTAGAATTCCCCAGGGAAACCATCAGGTCCAGGGCTCTTATTTGTTGGGAGATTTTTGATCACTGATTCGATTTCTTCACTCGTTATGGGTCTGTTCAGGTTTTCTATTTCTTCCCGTGTGAATTTTGGTAGTGAGTGTGTGTTTAGGAATTTGTCCATTTCTTCTAAGTTGTCCAATTTGTTGGCATATAATTTTTCATAGTATTCCCTGATAATTGCTTGTATTTCTGAGGGGTTGGTTGTAATAAGTCCATTTTCATTCATAATTTTGTCTATTTGGGTGCTCTCTCTTTTCTTTTTGATAAGCCTGGCTAGAGGTTTGTCAATTTTGTTTACTTTTTCAAAAAACCAACTCTTGGTTTCATTGATCTGTTCAATTGTTTCTTTGGTCTCTATGTTGTTTATTTCTGCTCTAATTTTTACTATTTCTCTTCTTCTACTGGGTTTAGGGCGTTCTTGTTGCTCTGCCTCTAGCTCCTTTAGGTGAGCTGTTAGATTTTGGACTTGTGCTTTTTCTAATCTCTTGAAATAGGCCTGGAGAGCAATGTACTTTCCTCTTAGGACTGCCTTGGCCGCATCCCATAGATTTTGAATTGTTGTGTTTTCATTTTCATTTGTTTCCATATATTTTTTAATTTCCTCTCTAATTGCCTGATTGGCCCATTCATTCTTTAGAAGGGTGTTCTTTAACCTCCATGTTTTTGGCGGTTTTCCAGACTTCTTCCTGTAATTGATTTCAAGTTTCAAAGCATTGTGATCTGACAGTGTGCATGGTATGATCTCTATTCTTTTATATTTATTGAGGGCTGCTTTATGTCCCAGTATGTGATCTATCTTGGAGAATGTGCCATGCGCACTTGAGAAGAAAGTAAATTCCCTGGCCTCAGGATGTAAAGTTCTAAATATATCCGTCAGATCCATCTGGTCCAATGTGTCTTTCAAGTCCATTATTTCTTTAGTGATTTTCTGTCTGGTTGACCTATCCATTGCTGTAAGCGGAGTATTAAAGTCCCCTGCTATTAGCACATTCTTATCTATAAGCTTGTTTCTGTTTGTGATTAATTGTTTTAGATATTTAGGTGCTCCCATATTCGGTGCGTAGACATTTATGATTGTTAGTTCTTCCTGATGGATGGACCCTGTAATTATTATGTAGTGCCCTTCTTCATCTCTTGTGATTGTCTTTAATTTAAAGTCCAGTTTGTCTGATATAAGTATCGCTACTCCGGCTTTCTTTTGATTTCCTGTAGCATGATATATATTTCTCCATCCCCTTACTTTTAATCTGAAGGTATCTTCCCGTCTAATATGAGTTTCTTGTAGACAGCATATAGATGGATTTTGTTTTTTTATCCATTCTGCTACCCTATGTCTTTTGATTGGAGCATTCAGCCCATTTACATTCAGTGTTATTATTGAAATATGTGGGTTTAGAGTCTTTGTATCTTTTGTAGGGTTCATATTTGTGGTGGTGTCTCTGGTATCTTTGTTCCTTGCAACCTTTCCTTCAGAGCGTCCCCCTCAGGATTTCTTGTAGGGCTGGCTTAGTAGTGACAAGTTCTTTCAATTTCTGTTTATTCGGAAAGGTTTTTTTTATCTCTCCTTCTATTTTGAATGACAGGCTTGCTGGATAGAGGATTCTTGGTTGCATATTTTTACTGTTCAACACATTGAAGATCCCCATTCCTTTCTGGCCTGCCAAGTTTCAGTAGATAGGTCTGTCACCACTCTGAAAGGTTTCCCTTAGTATTTTAGGGCCCTTTTCTCCCTAGCTGCTTTCAGAATTCTCTTTGTCCTTATATTTTGCCATTTTAACTATGATATGCTGTGGAGAAGATCGATTCAAGTTACGTCTTAGGGGTTTCCTCTGAGCCTCTTGTATTTCAACATTTACTTCCTTCCCCATGTCGGGGAAGTTCTCTGCTATAATTTGTTCCAGGACTCCTTCACCACCTTTCCCTCTCTCTTCTTCTTCTAGGATTCCTATGATATGGATATTGCTGCGTTTGACCGTGTCGCTGAGTTCTTGAACTCTTCTTTCCTGTTCCTGGATCATTTTGTCTCTTTTTTTTTTTTGTCAGCTTCTTGTTTTTCTAGAATGGTGTCTTCTAAATCACTTATTCTCCTTTCTGCCTCTTCAATCCGTGCATTGGAGGTCTCTAATTTATTATGTATCTTATTTCTCGTTTTTTTTTTAATTCTTCATGTCTGTTTATATTATCCATTGTGTCTGTAGCCATAGTTTCTTTGATGTCCCCTATGCTTTTTTCAAGCCTAGCTATTAATTTTATGATTATTATTCTAAAATCTTGTTCAGTTATGCTGCTGATATCTGTTTTGAGCAGTTCATTAGCTGTCATTTCTTCTTGGAGTTTCTTTGGAGGAGAGCTCTTTCGTTTCTTCATTTTAGTTAGCTTTCTGGCTCTTGTTAGATTTAAAGACTTGTTATGTTCTCTGCACCTATGAGCACTGCTGTATCCAAGAAGACTCTTTGACTGTCCAGGGCCTATCCTTTCAGAGTGTGTTTTTCGAATGGTATCTCTTAGTCTCTCTTGTTGGGACCTTGGTTATTTTATTTTCCTACTCATAGTGATATTTGGGACTCTCCACCTTGTGTACTCTGGCTTGTTTCTTGAGGTGGCCCATGGTCAAGTAGCCAGAGGAAGGCCATTGTGGCAGGAGTATGTCGGGAGGCCGGCTATGGCCGGGGTCCAGCGGTCCCTGGATCCAGATCAGAAGAGCAAAGACTAGGGGCGCCTGGGTGGCTTAGTCGGTTAAGCGTCCGACTTTCACTTATGTCATGATCTCGCAGTTCGTGGGTTTGAGGCCCGCGTCGGGCTCTGTGCTGACTGCCAGCTCCAAGCCTGAAGCCTATTTCAGAGTCTGTATCTCCCTCTCTCTCCTACCCTCCCCTGCTCACGCTGTGTCTCTCTCTCCTAGAAATTTAAAAAAAAAAAAAAAAAAGAAGAAGAAGAAGAAGAGCAAAGACTAGCAAGGGCTTCTACAGAACTAAAAGGCTCACTGTTGGGCTCCTGATGGGGTCTCTGCAGCACGTAATCTCTTATGTCATTAACTGTTGGCAAATCCAAGGCACTGCTCTCCTCAGACTGGCTGCCTGGAGTGGCTTCCTGGGTCGTCATAGTCTGACTGACAACAGCAGCACATCCAAATCCGGAAGTGGAGACGCCATATTTGTTATCTATCCAGGCCATTATTTAAAAATGAAAACCTCAGGGAGGTAATTCTTATCAGAAGGAAAATAGAAGGGGGTAAAGATTATTTGAAACTTAGGTGAATGAAAAATTTCAAGTGTCTTCCCCATTTATTTAGAAGAAAAAGCATTAGCTATCTGGATAGGTGAACTGTTCTCTTGTAATCTAGTGAGTTTTGTATTATCATGCCCATCTTATGGCTAAAATTATAGAATGGAAGCTATAGTGTGTGTGTGTGTGTGTGTGTACTGTCAAATACATGTGTTTGGTGTAGATGTGTGATATCTTCTACCTCTGGATGGTATTGCCAAAACTTATTTGTAAAAGAGTCCTATTTAATTGACTTAAAGAAATTAATCATTTATATAAATTAAGTGTCCTAAGACTTTCAGAAATACAATAGGAACTAACTCAATGCCTTTCAGATTCATCTGATCTGGGAAAATATTTGGTATTAAAGGTAATTTAAATATATTAGTTGAATTAAATACATATGTGTTTAGAATGATCAAGAGTGAATATAATTTTGGCTTGCAACTTTTATTCTTGCTGGGTTTATTAGTCAAGTAAGTTCATATGATCTTTGTCACAAAGTTTGTCAGCAAGCATATAACTTGGTATGATAGATTTTTCATAAGTAATTTAAACATAATTGTTGAGAAAGGGTGAATTAAATAAATATAAGTGGGATAAAAGCTTTTAGGAAAACTTTTTAAATTGTTTTCTGATGTCTTTTTGATAATCTGAAACCTTACAGTTTTACTAAGTTAAAGTAAGTGATGGATGTTCATTAAATATCTAGATCATTTGCAGATAAGATAAAATATTGAAATATTAATTGATGAACATGGGTTTATTTACTTTGGGTTTCCTTTTGCAGAGGAACTAAAGCTATTTGGATCTATTAGTAAACATGTCCTGTGTCACACTGACAAATTCACTACAAGAAAGCTTTCATTTACAAAAGTTATACAAAGATTTATAAATCTTCCAGTCCATAGAAGGCTAGGAAAAGAGACTGTCCACAATTGTTTACTTCTTAGCTTTCACCAGAAATTAAGGTTTTTAAGGGTTATGAATTTTAATAAACTTAATTAAAGCTTCTAAAAATGTGACCCATCTACAAGGAAAGTAGGAGAAAGTATGAGGAATGGAAACATATTTTTGTTGAAGGGAAAGAATGTAATTTTGTCCTAAAGTAACATTGATTATTTTAGAATGAGAAACAGGACAAAATCTGAATACACAAAAGAAAGTTGTAGAAGGTTTGTGGAAAAAGAATCTTTGGGAAAATGATTTTAATATGTAGTCAAGCTGGCTAAGATAGAATGAAGTTAATTAAGTCGAATGAATTTTGATATCAAAAGTAAGCTGGTAGCAAAATTAGAATTTGAGTTTCTCTTTGTTAAAAGGACAACTAAGTATTGTTGATGATGTTAAATTAATTGGTTTATTTGCTATGGTACATTACATAGGAAGCATTTTATGATACAGTACTTGAAAAAAATAAAGGCAAGTAATGCAAGAAACGGGAAGACAATAAGGAATTCCAGGAGTGGAGGCAGGAGAGAAGGGGAGAAAGCTGAACTAGAAACTTGTGGTTCAAAGACAACAGCAAAAGGTAAGGCTCTACAGTCATCAGCTTCCAAAACCCAGAGCTGGGCCACATTGTCAGCACTGTTGGTAATGCAAGCTGGGATTTAGTCAGTCATTTAGTGCCATCCAGCTAACCAGTAGAAGAGCTAAAACAAAGTGAGGGACCCTCCAGCCAGGGAGAAGGTGGGTGTGGAGTGGAGCAAAGGAGCCAAATCCTGGCTGTTATTGCAGATCACAGTCAGGAAAGAGAGTAGGGATATGGGCTAGACTGGTGGAGAATTGTGCTAGAAGCACAAGAAAGGCCCTGCAAGCAGAGTGTGGGGGTGGGCATGAGGGTGGGGGGAGTGGGGCTGCTGCCGCCTTTGCTATTCACTACCTTGTACCTGTTTTACCTTTGATAAAGATTAAAAAGAACCCCATACTGATGAGGGATAGAAGCAGAAAAATGTTCTCCATTAGCCCAGAAGCCTGACATATAGCTTGCATGGTTTCCACAAGGATCCAATATGTGCTGGTTGCTATGTTCTTAAAAGGTCTCACTAATATATCTCTGCCTGTATACCTCACCAATAGCAGTTAATATCAAACTGAATGATAAGCACCAGGGAAATCTTGGGAAAGTAGTTTTAGGAGAAGAAATTCCAAGAAGACATTTTTTATCTAATACTCCCTGCACATCTCCTTCCCCTTGAGCACGAAGCATACAACAGCAAAAGTGCAGCCCTTTCTGCCCATGGGTCATGCTATAACTAAATTGCAGTAAGGGTCTCAAGAATGCTTTCTTGGGGCGCCTGGGTGGCTTAGTCGGTTAAGCGTCTGTCTTTCGCTTGGGTCATGATCTCGCGGTTCGTGGACTCGAGCCCCGCGTCGGGCTCTGTGCTGACTGCCAGCTCAGAGCCTGAAGCCTGTTTCAGTCTGTGACTCCTTCTTTCTCTCTGACCCTCCCTTGCTCACGCTGTCTCTCTCTCTGTCTCTCCTAGAAATAAATAATAAACATTAAAAAAAAAAAAAGAATGTTTTCTTGACCATTGCACTAAATAATCTGGCAACAATACTGGGTAATTTGTCAGTATCATTTATGTAGTTACTGTGTGATACAATGTTAAAATGATAAACAAGAAAATACAGAAGCAGAAGTAGTGAAAAAAAGAGACGGAATTGTTGTAAAAACAGCGTCAAGATGACAGGAAAAAGGACAGATGACCTGGGAGCTCAGGTGAGTCATAAGGACACATTCCTCTAAAGAAGGAAGGAGCAGGGTGATGCCTGATGATGGAATTGTGGCAAATTCAAGGATATAGTTTATTGCCCTAGACAGTCTTTGAATCAGCAGAGTCCAGTTATCAAAAGGTAACTAACCAGTGCTTTCAGAGGCTGTGTGTCTGAACCGACTAGCCGGCCATCTCTCAGCCTCCAGCTGGATCCCTGACAATTCTCAGCTTCCAGACTCAATTTCTAAGGATTATAAGAAAATCTAATGTAGAGAGTGGCAGGGAAAAAATTTAAAGAATGGCACAATGTATAACAGAGTGTATTTCTAAAAGAATGTTCCTTAAAAAAAAGAAAAAAGAAAGAAAAAATCAAGCTGAAATAAAAGCATCTCAGAATGTATCTAAAAAAGAAAACCTCCATCAAGTTCTCTTTAGCTTTTAATTTCCAAATACTCAGATAACTTAATGAGGAGGGAACAACACTTAAAAATTGTTCTTCCTTGACATAACTCTTCCATAGTAAGGAATAATCATCTTAAAGATCTAGAGCTATTTTCTCAAAAACGCATCACCTGTCAAAATGCAGTTGGCAGAACCTCTCTGGAGTAAGGGCCCCTTAGCCTGTCCTCTGAATTCTTACCCGGTGTTCCTTCTCTTTTAGCTGGGTAAGAACCTTGCATTTTGGAAGACATGGTAAGTAACACAGAATGATGCAAATAACTAACTACTTGCAAGAGAACAAAGTATTCCCATAAATTATTTAATGAGCTGTTTTGTCTAAAAAAAAGGAATTGGGGGCGGATATTGACAAACGAGGAAAAGCTGTGCAGTGTCATGAAATCCTCAGGAGAGGGGTGATCTGTGGTGCAGGAAACCATTTTGAAAAAGAATACTGTGGCTCATTGCATGACCAAGGAAAGGGAGCCAACATTTGTTGAGCACCAGCCATGTGGGGGCACTGTGCTGAGCTGTGCAGGGCTCTCCGGGCTGCAGGCACACCTCTCCGCTGGTTGTTCCCTGCTGCAGGAGAGAGGTTGGAGGCAAGCCTTCTAGCCTGTGTGACCCTACAAATGATAACAGTCAGGATGTAACAGTAAACATAATGGTTACATGTACGGAAAGCTTACTATCAGCCAGACATTGTTCTAAGTGCTTTGCACACATTAACTTTAGTCTTTGCAACAAGTGCATGAAGGAGGTAATTACCCCATTTCACAGATGAAGGACCTGTGAACTACTAGCTATGAATGTAAAGGAGCCACGTGGTTTGGTTTGAGAAATGTGCTATGCCTTGGTATAAGATCATATCTTGTACAAGATAGCATTCTAGGACATAAGTGTCTAAGCAAACCTCCCAAATTGTCCTCAAACACAGTGGCCCACTTGGAAATGCAAAACTACCTTTTTAGGGAGCATCTTCTCATTTTTGTCAGCTCAGCCTCCAACACTAGCCACTTTTTCTGGAAAACAGAATTCTAATCCCTTAGCTTCTTTTCCTGCTGTTCCTGTTTATAGGTGCTCTGTGGGCCTTCTCCATTTTCCGTAGCTGCCACACACGTTTAGAGTGTAAAAAGACCTCAGTGACTGCTGAGAGGAGAGCACAAAGTGAGGATAGTAGGCTAGAGTGGTACTCTCAGGGACAAGTGCACCGTTAGTGGTGTCTGGGCAGGTCCAGCAGCGGTGGGTGCCCAGTCTCCAGTCTCATTATTACCAGGATCACTGGACATGGTGCAGTGTCTCTGCCCCAAGGTTGTCTTTTGCTGGAGTTCAGTTCTATATCTCCCTTGATCTTCATTCAAACATTACTTCATGGTTATTACCTCTGCATGGTTATGCTCGTAAAGCCACGGCTCTGGTGATCCAGCCTCAGTAAGACTGGATCTGAGAAACCTGGCCTCAGTAATAAAAAGAAATTTCAACATGATTTCTTGTACCTTTAAATCTGTGCCAGAGGTATTTAATCTGCACCAACCGCAGCAATTGTTTAAAAATCCCCCCTTTCCCCATTGTTGGTGGGAATGCAATCGGCTGCAGCCACTCTGGAAAAGGGTGTGGAGGTTCCTCAAAAAGTTAACAATAGAACCACCCTATAATCCAGTAATTGTGCTAGTACATATTTAT